CAGGAAGAAGCGCACTTATCAGAGGTTTTAAAAAATGTTATTTTGAAATTATAAAAGTCTTTCCATGTCGATTACGTTCATTGCTCGCGGGATCGTCATAATATATTCCACTATCGCGCGCGCTGTAGAGACTCGAGTAGCAGCCATAACTAACATTGAAGTGCCAAGTACATATGGTTATGTACTTCTTGCAACACTAACCCTACATTATACAACTCTAGGAAACCCTTTTTTCTGGAATCTCCCGGTGATTTGAAGTCATGCAACTGTTTATATTTTTAGCATAAAAATCCAAAGCCTTGGGATATTGTCTTGTCAGAGTTTTTAGGTTGTTATTTTCAAATATCAAATCATGGACCAGGGAGTTAAAATGGTTATGAGATTCTGAAGAACAACTATGATCTACACTAGTTCGCACAGCTTTTTTGAATTTCATCACAGGCAAAGCACCACGCGTTGATCGGCAATCACTTGGGCCATGTTTTGCGTTGCGGATATCGGGGAATATCTGATGAGTTTGATTAGTTGGTCTGCCAGTTTGGATTTATTCGTGGTGTTTGATCTTTCTTTATAATGTTTTTAAGTTCTTTATTACATTACTTCCATCGAAGATAGTGCATTTCTATAATTTATTGTAATGTATTTGAGAAAAACCTTAGGATCAAAACGAATAAACAGTAATGGCGGACTCTCGTTGTTTATTGCTCCTACCCAGAAAACCTTGCGGTCATACAAACAGGAATCCCAAACATTACATTTATAACACTCAATTCCCTGTCATATATATAAAATCGAAAAATGTCCAGGATTTATGGGAACTGATGGTGCTCATTTTGAAGTCAACAATTCATGTCATGATTTTATCACTGGAAAATGAGACTGGGGAATTGACCGCTAGTGACACTAGTGCCATTATGGCTCTGGTCCGAATTTTGAAATGTAACTTTGAAATTATCATCCATGTTTATATCTTGCTGACCAGCTTCACCGTAACAAGAATGTGGTCCTCTAATATTGGCCTTTATGGTATATGAGATATTTGGTCCAAGGCTGACTGGCTCATCAAGATTTGCAGTGAATCCATAATATTCATCATTCACCATTTCACTGATGTATGAAGACGATAGCTTTGACATTATTTTATCTCTTTCTAAAATTTCCAATTCAATGGTGTGCGTTGAGCCTTGGCTGCCAAAGAGCTGCACACCACTGAGAGAGACACCTTTGTTGACAGTGAAGTTAACTGCATCAATCGAAGTATTTGAATAACTCCACCGTGGTTTAAGCACATTGCGGAAACGATTCTTTGAACATAGCTTAATATCATATCCTCTTCGGTTCTTTTCATTAAACATACTAATAGCTGATCTGGAGGACACCTTTCCAATGATCTGAACCAGCTCTGTAAGCTCACGTTTTTTTAAGATTTCGCACGGAAGCACAACTTCGGCAAACTCTTTGAAAGACATCAAAGGAAATCTAATAAGCCTAATGATATCTTCGCCAAGAATGGCTCGTTTGCATTTTCCTGTGCTTTCTAAACCATCTTCTTTTATCTTTTTAGTTGCCCATTTATCAACAGCTTGAAAGATTTCCACCTCCTTGATTCTTAAAGAGTCTCTAGTTAAGAATTGACACAGCATATCCT